TAGGTCATATGGACTGAATTTGTATTTTACATATGGAGTAACAGCCTCATGTGACCTCCATGTATGATCTCTTTCGCCATTGAAACATTCAGCATGATGTACTCCTAATAACTTTGAAACTTTATTTTATTTATTTTTTTGTGCTAAATAATCAGTTATTCCGATATCTAGGATAATGTCTTAAGTAGTCATAGCTGACTAAGTGAATCCCAACCTATAGCCTTCTTCTTTTCCTAACTTTACACCAGAAGTATATGAAACCACATCTATTTATCTTTGATGGTGCCCCACTTCTTTTGCAGGATTTGTCCATGGAAAGAATGATGGAAATACGAAAACGTAACTGCAGTCCAATGACAATGAAGGTTACCTACTATAAAAGTCCTGTGTTTCTCCACCAAGGCTACATGCAGTGGTTGTGGGGTGTAAATGGTCAACGATACCTTGATTTTTTTGGTGGAATTGCCACTGTTAGTGTTGGACACTGTCATCCGTAAGTGCCTTAAATCTTAAAGCAATGCTTACCTTTCAACTATCTTGCACTGGATGCCTGAATGTTTTGTTTTTTTTATTTCAGGATGAATGTAGTATCTACTCTAGTGTTCATTGTTTGATAAGGGTAGCCCCCAAATTTATTCACATCCTTTCTGAACTTTAAAAGTTGATTTAGTGCACATTTTTTATTCAGATTAAAAGACTTAAGACATGCTTGACCTTTGATATTGCAAAATGTTCAAGTTTATTTCGAATCTGTATTTTATGATCCCTCCTTTCATTTGTAAACCTTGAGGAGGTGCTTCCGGTAGCCTCATAACAAGTTGTTAAATTTCTTTTGAGGGATATTCAACCATTCCTCTGAGCAGAATATCTGTAGCTCCTTCAGGTCTGTGTTTGTGCAGTGCTCTTTTCTGCTCACACCATAAATGTTCTAGTGTGATTTTTTATGCTTTCTTAATAATCTAGTCATTGAGCTTTGTGAAGGCTTCGTTTTGTTGTCCTGTCCTATAAGTGCATTATAATCTATCTTAAATATGTAAAGCTTATTCACAAAGGACACCTGTCTAAACCAGTCTTGTTTTTGCCAGCATCAGGTTAACATATACTGGTAAAAATATGATCTGTCTGTCTGTTCCTCAGTTCATTATTCCATCAGAATTGGTTGGTGCAGAACAACCCTAATACAGAACACAAATGCTTTTTGGTTTTTCACAGAAGGGATGATATGCTTCTCAACGAGATGCACCTTTGTTTGCTTGCTATACTGTGGCTACTCAGGCTACTCAGATTCTAAAGTTAGACATATTTTTTAACAATTAAGGACTAATGACACCAAATTAAATCTATGAATATGTGATATTGCTGCCTGATGATTTGTGAGACCATAATTTCAACAAAATGAGATGAGATGCTATGATTGGACATGTCTTTTTAGTGCACAGGTTTCTGAGAATTACAGTGAAAATGTGAGAAAGCACAGAATTAAATGATAAAATACAATTGTGAACTCATCATCTGCCCTTATCTCTACAGAAAAGTCAAAGCTGCAGCACAAAGACAGATGGAACGTTTGTGGCACACAACACAAATCTATGTGCTTTCTCCAATCCATGAGTATTGTGAAAAACTGGCTGCTTGCTTTCCAGATCCTCTAAAGGTACAAAATTCCCTCTGATTATAACAATTTCCCCCAGATATGAGAAGTGGTTTTATGATAAGAAAAAAATAAAATCAAGGCCACCCAACCCAGGTAGTGATCAGACATTTATGTATTACATAAACATCTGTCTGAATGTGTGCTGTAGTGCGTGGCTGTGACTACTGTGAGTATTGCTGTGTTATTGACATCTGCTAGACGTCTGTATGCGTTATAGCTGGTAAATCAAATTGTCCCTGCCTTGCCAGACTATACTTGGAAATAAATAAAAACACTTTACAACAGGCAGCCTGGGTTCAGTTCCTGTGGCTGAAATGTTAAATCTTCAACATGACATTGGTTATTAAAGATAAGAAACAAACTTCAGCTGTGAAGGAGAAAGTGTAATGCACATATTTGCTTGGGTTCCAATGTGGAATGTGGTCGTGATGAGGGATAACTGTGTCATGGCTGAGTACTGCTGTGTTATGAACCATCTTCTGAGAGCCTGTGTGAAATACAGTGTTGCCAGCAAACCAAAAGGTCCAGACTGCCTGGCTCTTGCTTTGTTTGTGGAATATACAGCCATGATTTAAACAGGCAACATCTGGATTATATAATTTAACTTACGAAACTTTAACATACTTTAATTTAAGGACACTTCAGGTGTAGGAACGTGTGCGTTAATGTTGGACACAGTCTGTCTTGCATATATGTCATTATAAATGAAAACCAGCATTACAATCTCAAATTCAGTAACCCAGCCAATTGCTTGTTCTCTAAAGATAGGATAGGATAAACTTGATGTCTCATCTAGATGTAAATTTCATGTATATCATGTACATATCTCCTTTAGTTCTTTGCTGTTGTGAAAGCATCTTAGTTTGTAGTAGGAGAGAAAATCAATTTGAACTGTGCTATCTGTCCCCCCAGGTCATTTACTTAACAAATAGTGGCTCCGAGGCTAATGACCTTGCTATGCTCATGGCAAGGCTGCACACGGGAAACTTTGACATCATAACACTCAGGTAATGTGGGATGTGGGAGTACAGCATTCTCTTTCACATTTCCCATGTTCCTCAGCAACTTCCTTGTTCATGTAAAGAGCAGAGTCCGGCTGCATTTAAAGAGGGAATCTTGAAACTGAACAGAACATGTGGGAGTATGGAGTAAGCTACCAAGCCATTTGTTGAAACCGATACCCTAGCTTCATTCAGTAAATGGCTTCTTTCAGCAATAGTTAGATCAGTTGACTACTACAGTGAGTCTCGATGGTTCTTATGCACTTATGATTTATTTGTTTTTTTTTAATTAAACTTATTTGTACATACAAAAATGTCAAACATCTGCAGTAACTATAAAAATGTTATGAACATTAGTGTGCCAAGAAAACATTCCCCATACTATTACACCATCACCACCAGCCTGTACTGTTGACACATGGCAGGATGGATCCATGAATTCATGCTGTTTACACCAAATTCTGACCCTACCATCTGCGTGTCGCAGCAGAGATCGAGATTCGTTAGACCAGGCAACGTTTTTTCAATCTCCAGTCGTTCAGTTTTGGTGATCACGTGCCCACTGTAGCGTGATCTTCCTGTTCTTAGCTGACAGGAGTGGAACCTGGTGTGATCTTTTGCTGCTGTAGCTCATCCGCTTCAAGGCTCGATGCTTTGTGCATTCAGAGATGCCCTTCTGCACACCACTGTTGAAAAGAGTGGTTATTTGAGTATTTGTATTAAAAAATTACTCACTTTACATGAGGGCTTGCTTGATGCAAAAATCCAAGTTATTACATACTGCTATTTATGCCTGTTATATTTTCTGTCTATAGAGATTGCCGATATGGTCTTTCTATGTCTGTGGTACTCAAATGGTAGGACTTTGTTGAAAATTACAAACTATAGACTACAAATACATTTTTATTTGAAATCACGATTTTTCTGATTGTAATTATAGTTATTTGATTATGATCTTATGTAGCCAGAACACTTTCAAAGAGACTATATGCTGTAATCCCTTTTGTAATCCCTTAGACATACTGTAGTTTACATACAGTACAGTAAGTGTTCACAATGTCCCTTACCCTAAGACATGTGACGACCTCTGCTGTGACAAGTTGTTACAAATACTTATGTAGTTTGTATAGCTTTGGTAACAGTAAATATAAACAAATATGAATATTGCTATTAAACAATATGTAGCCTCTCTAAAGATGCTCATGGTGTTATGCTGTTCTAAGTGCTGGATACATTTGAATTAAACATTAATACTAGATTTTATTCTAAATGCTGAATTAGAACTGCAAATTAACAATTAAATCCATGACACCATGAATTGAAGAAGGCTGTTTTTTAATTGTTCCCACTATCCAAGTTCATTCTATCCAGAGCTGTTTATAACAGCCATACATCATGTGTGAAGTGTCATTATTAAATAAGTCTGTTGGTTCTGGTAAAGCAGACATCTGTGACACGTCAGAATGTTTTTTTTTTCCTGGTTGTTCTGTACAGAGGGTCATACCATGGTGGCAGTCCACAATCATTAGGCCTGACATCAAACTCAGACTACAAATACCCCATTGCTGCTGGATTTGGGTGCCACACAGTAAGTTTTGCATCATGGTTTTACTTAGCATTGCTTAATGGTGAGTCAAAAGCCTTTATACCCTCTCTAAGTTGTTGAGAGGGTCTCTGTGAACATTGTACATACTTTTTCTGCTGAAGCTGCAGTACTTTATAAAGTGGACATACATAACTGGTTTGAACTGGAATGGAAGAATGCTGGACACCAGGGTAACTATGTAATATGTACTGTGTTATATAGGAACACGTGCTACAAAACTAAGTATCCAATTATTTTAAAACAAGCTATCTTTGGCAAATAGGGAAGAGGGAGATGTGCATGATTTTGGAATGCTGCCAATCTGATAAGCACAGGGAAGTGTGATAGATAACAGAAAAATATTTAAGGACTGTCTAATTTAATCAATTTGAGAAAAATACACCAAGCATCTCTGTATGTTTCACTCCCATGCGCATGACATAAAAACTTCTTCTAACTTCTGCGACAGACTCCTGACTGTCTTTTAAAGTAAAGTGACAATAATGTCTTCAACAAAGTCTTCACCAAAAGAATGCATGGGCTAATCTAGACAGCAAAAACAGAGATAATATGCAGCAAAGACCTGATCACATTACACTGAGGCCCCCTGACACCTCAGATCTGTGCAGCAGAAAACCCCATACAACTAACATCAAGAAAGGGGAAAATCCAGTGATACTGGCAGATCATTCTTAGCTTCTTACAGTCCAGTTTGCATATACTCAAACATCCAAATAGCGCTGGCTCAGATTGCTGGGGACTTTTCGCTTGTTTGTCCTTTATCTTTATGCATGTAGATCATTATGAAAACTAAATATTAAACAAAGTATGATGTCATCAGACTTCTGATGCTGAGTGTAATGAACCTATTTTTTTGTTATCATATTTCACATCTAGTAATACTACTGATTTCACTGTACTGTATATGTAACATGTTTAATTTATTTTGTTCAATATATAGCTTGCCAGGGTAGGTTCTGACTACCTTGCAAAAATGTATTGGATAAAGCTGTTAGAAAACTGATAGTTGAATGTTTTGGTAATACAGTAATGCCATGAATATGAGTGCATACAGTACTTGATTGTTAAAGAGTATTATCTCTGTTGCTTCTACAGACCATGTGCCCTGATGTGTTTAGAGGTCCGTGGGGTGGAAGGCACTGTAGAGATTCTGCTGTTCAAGCTGCTCGTGACTGCAGTTGTGCCCCAGGTACTTATTCAGTAGTGTTTTGCAATTATTTGGGGAGAGTTGTGAAATGTACTGCTGCTGAAATCACTCTTTTACTTCTGGGCTCAGTTGCACCTGTAATGGCAGTAATGGTACTTTCTCTGTATAGGATAGAGGGAGCTCAGTAGCATACTCAGGATAACAGAGTTCCAGTAGCATACTCGGTACCATAAATTAATCATATTAATGAAATATTGTATTTTTTACCACCTTGAAAACTGTTAAAAGTCTATAAATTGTAAATAATGAAGTAATACATTTAATTTATAAAACACCTGTACGAAAAGATTTTTCATCTTTCTGTAGAATTTATTATAGTTTTTCATTTCAAGAGTACATTACCAGTTTTCTGATAGTTGTTTGTATATCAAACATTTTCTACTTGAAATAACTGTGATCTTCAATACCAGGCTGTTGCCAGGCTAATGACATGTACATTGAGCAACTGAAAGAGGTTCTCAAGACTAGTGTTCCTAATCAGATTGCTGGATTCTTTGCAGAGCCCATACAGGTATGAAAAATATGCTTGACAAAAAACATTGAAAGACAGCAGTTTTTATGCTGTACTCTTCATTAAAAATATATTGTGTTTTGGACATTCATTATTAACTTTCTATTGATAAATACACACATAATAGACTCACAGCTGGCTTCCTAATAAGCCAGTTTGTTTTATTACATAATTAAGGGCATTATTAAGAAATTAGAACATCTGCAGAATTCTGTACTCACAACGTCTAAACAATTTTTCTGTGAATTATGCTGTGAATCCCTAAAGTCCTAACCAAATTAAAAATAGTGCTGGTCCAATTAATT